CAAGACTGGATCCTTGGAATCCAATTTCGGCGAGAACAAGACCAACCCGTACGAATTGCCAGAGGACTCGCCTTATCAGCCCATCAAGGACGAAGTGATGAAAGTCGTCACCGGCGAGACGACAGAAGAGTATGCAGAAGATAGGAAAGCATGGGCGAAGAATGTCGTTAAAGATCTGATGAAGAACTTTGACAGCCCGCCAACGGAGATCTGGAGAGGCGGCGCTGCGGGTACTATTCAGGTGAGCAGCAAGATGGACAGCATTCTACCAGACTACCTGTCAGATGGGAGTTTCCAAGGTCTAGGCGGATTGGACAAGCTAGGGAGAATGCTCGAGAAGAAAGCAAAAAGTTAGTGATAAGAAAACGACGCAGAATGAGGAGAGAACCTAGTATCAAATCGACTCAATGCAGAACCATACATTTAAGCGTTCGGCGCAAAGTCCATGACGGTCTACTACAACCTCGCATATGCACCTGCATATATATCAAACCTCCAAAACTGCAAGCTTGTCAGTGCATGTGGTTGGGCGTTACTAAGTTAGTTCCCGCTTCACTGCCGTTCACACAGGCACTGATCGTCCTTTCGCAAAGGATCCGAAACAACAACTCGCTTCCAAGATCCACCCGCTTCTTTCTACCCACAGCGTCGCTTTACATAGCAACGAGAAGGCAATCCGAGCTAGTGGAAGGCAGATCTGGTGGTATCATTGCAGACTTCAGTCTCTACCAGCTTCAGCTTCAGCTCTGGCGTTGTAGAGATCTGAAGCTTGGAGAAAAGGAGATGATGACGTCATATCAACAGGGAAGAGCAATAAGCCATTGAAGAGCTTCTGCAAGCTGGTAACTCACGAGCAGCGACCTGCCTCTTCTGCTATTACAGGTATCGGCGCATAAATGTTCACAGCCATCGATAAAGCGCCGAACCTATCACATTGTGATCATCCGCTTGCGCATGCTCGGCATACCTTCGCTGATTCGTGCATTATCATAGGCACGCTAACTCGCAACGACTATCCCAATGTTTCGGCTCTTCAATCGAGGTAGTGCGCCGCAGCACGACCTTGCAGCAATATAACAAATATTTAATCCAACCAAGCGTGCGCCTGCCCTCCGCTACAATTCGCCAATGACAGTGCAATCCCAGTACACACGTGCTACTGCGGATGTCGGCATTGATCGTCGTTCTCGGCAACAACAACATGTGTGAAAGCGTAGACTACCGTAGAAAACCATATAAGGTCAACTGGTAGTATCAACTGAGAGACCTCCAGACAAAACAGTCCACAACTCAAAATGCCTTCCTCATTGCGCACACTTGTCTTGCTACTACCCGTTCTTCAGCTCGCCAACGCTCAAACGGCAGGGACATTCAACACAATCACTTTCAATGTCGCTGGCTTGCCAGACTTCTTGAACGGCAACGAGATCCCTGGAGACAAGACTACAAACACTGCACGCATTGGTCAACTGCTCACGCAGTACGATATTGACCTCATCCATGTTCAGGAAGACTTCAACTTTCACGCCACACTCTACGCCAACGATGAGCACCCACACAGGACTCCTACGAGCGGAGGCGTCCCCTTTGGCAGTGGCTTGAATACCTTGAGCAATTTCCCCTATGTTGACTTCGAGAGAGTGAAGTGGGGTCAGTGCAGTACTTTTGAGTAAGTTGTCTACCATCGTAATCACGATCCCAAAACCAGAGTCGAGTACCCAACATTTCTAGGAAGCATTCGCTAACAACCCCTGCAGCAGCGCCGATTGTCTCACCCCGAAAGGCTTCACATTCATGAGAGTCAAGATTGCCGAGGGTGTCTGGGTGGATCTATATAACCTACACGCTGATGCTGGGTAAGCCACTACCAGTAGCTATGTTGGAGAGCTCCTGCTGAAAAGTTTCAATAGCACCACCGCGGCAGATCTGTCAGCTAGGGCTGCCAATCTTCGCCAAGTCTCTGATGCTATCAAGGCAAACTCCGTGGGCAACCCAGTCGTTGTCTTCGGAGACTCAAACACTCGCTACACACGCACTGGCGATATCCCCGGAGTCTTTGGCACCGAAAATGGGATGAAGGACGTGTGGGTTGAGCTCGTCAAGAACAATGTCGCACCTGCAGCAGGCAGTGGTGATTTGCTCTGCACCAACCCCTCAACGACGACTTCTTGCGAGACCGTGGACAAGGTCTGGTACCGTGGGTCGGCTACTACAAGCCTTCAGGCAACCACGTTCGACTACGCAGGCGACATGTTCCTGCAGCCTGATGGCAGTATCCTCAGCGACCACAACCCCGTGCTTGTCGACTTCACCTGGACGCTCAAGGGCCAGCTGCGTATCGGCGATCCCTGGGGAGGCGAGTCCGGAACCTGGTACAATGACCTAGACACCATTTCACCCATCAGCAACGCTAAGGTTGCATCCGTGACCCTTCAAGGCCAGAACCGCCTTGATGCTATCTCTGTCACTCTGGCGTCTGGCCAGAAGCTCACCCACGGAGGTACTGGTGGCACTGCTTCTACCCTGACTCTGAACTCCGGTGAGACCCTGACTGCTGCCACTCTGTGCCAGGGAGAGAAGGACGGCAAGACAAGGATCTTCTATGCTGAATTGCGCACAAGTGCTGGTCGCAGCGTCAGCGCTGGTGTCAAGACAAGCACCTGTGTTGAGAAGACTGCTGCCAGTGGATACAGCTTTGTTGGCTTCTTGGGCCGGTCGGGAGATGAGGTCGACAAGCTGGGTTTCATCAGCATCAAGGCTTGAAAGAGAGCGCTGTATTTGTTGCTAGCTTAATTCATAATCCTTAATGACTACCGAGATGGAAGGTTTTTCAAGATTGACTAGTATTATGCTCCCCGTGAATTACGGAGTGGCTCACTTGGACTAAACAACACTACCGCTAAACGTGCAGATCATGTCATGAAACCTAGTGTCAACTGTGAACAGACTAAGCAAAAGTCGGGAACAGCTCTCGTAGAAGGCCGGCCAGACCCGGATTCAAGACACACTAGTTCAACGCTGGAAGTATGAGATCTACAGGCATCAATGCACCACGCTAAAGGTAACTACTCAAACATCTACCGCATCTCCTGCTGACCGTCTGTGCCCTCGACCTCTTCGCCCTTGATCCACACGCTCTTCATCGCCTCACCCAGGATTTGCATACCCTCGGCGATCTCCGCCTCAGTGATCGTGAGAGGAGGCACGAATCGCAATGTGTTGGTACCACAAGTGATAATGAGCAGGCCCCTCTCGCGAGCGGCTGTGACAATCTCGGTAGGATCAGCAGTGAGCTGCAGGCCCAAAATCAGACCCTTGCCGCGGATCTCCTTGATCTGCTCAGGGAACTGCTCGCGCAGAGCATCGAAGTGCTTGCGGAATGCCTGCTCCTTAGCCGGGATTGACTCCAGGATCTCAGGCGACGAAAGACGGGACAGGATGTATGAGGCGACGCGACTGCCAAGCGGGTTGCCACCGAATGTTGTGCCGTGGTCGCCAGTCTTGATGTGATCGCACACGAAGTCGTTGACGATAGTGGCACCAATGGGGAAGCCGTTGCCGAGAGCCTTCGCTGTGGTAACGACGTCCGGGTGGGCCTCCTTAGGGAGCATAGCATGCGCCCAGAAACTACCTGTACGACCGAGACCGCATTGGATCTCGTCGTGGATCAGGACTGCGCCGACCTCTGTGCAGCGCTTGCGAAGAGCGACCATGAACTCCGGTGTAGCTACGTTAACACCGCCCTCACCCTGGATAGGCTCAATGATAACGCCGCAAGTCGACTCTGTGACCAGGCTGTTGATGCCTTCGATGTCGTTGTATGTACCGTACTTGAAGCCAGGGACCATGGGAGAAAAGGGTGTCTGGTATTTTGGGTTGGGTGTAGCACTCAAGCTGCCCATGGTCCTGCCGTGGAAGGAGTTGTGGAAGGAGACAAACTCATACTTGCTGCCATCGGGCTGCAGTGACTTTCCGACCTTGCGCGCAAACTTGATAGCAGCCTCGTTGGCCTCGGAGCCGCTGTTGCAAATGAAGGTCTTGGTTGCGCTGGCAAAACCACCGGTCGCATGTGTGAGCTGGATCAGCTGCTTCGAGAGGAGACCAGTGTGAGGGTTGTGGTAGAGGTTCGAGGTGTGCATGAGCTGCTTGGCCTAGAAGCTGGTTAGCGGTCGTACACGCGAGGAAACAGCAGGCGTTCATACCTGCTGAGCAATAACCTCCACGACACCAGCATCGCAATGCCCCAAAGCATTGACCGCGATACCAGCCGTGAAGTCCAGGTATTTCCTGTTCTCAACGTCCCACATATAACAGCCCTCTCCCTTCTCGAACATCGGCGGTGGGCGCACATAGGTGGGGACCATGTATGGCAGCTGCTGGTCAACGAGGCCGGACGTCTTCGAGCCCGCAGGAGGATCTGGGGTCGCCAATGTCGAGTCGCGCTGTCTGGGATTAGCATTGGCTCCAAGCAGTTGAGCTCTGGGGGGTATATACCGCTATCGAGTCCTTGAGCTCCTGGGGCAGACTTGAGCCCTGCACCGCCGCCGCTGCAGACGAAGCAAAACGAGTCGACACGCAATTCACGCGCGGCGCACGAAGCGAGGCGCATACGCGCTTAGAAACAATCCGAAATGCCATTGTGTATGCTGGGTATCTCGCAAACGAAAAGAAAGTACGAAGGAAATATCAATGAGGCATTTGCAGTCATCGGAAAGCCATGCGGCATGAGTCTGAAATTCTTATCGATATGACTTGGAGCTTCGGCCGATGCCGGAGAACATGAACGACAACAGCTTTCCACATGTCCATAGACGAGACGATATCATGATATAGCGACCTCCATTGGCACAAGACGATAATGTGGCTAGTGCGGTACTGTGGTGCATTGAAGTTGACCTCAAGCAATGGCCATGTACACAAACGATGATGAGTCGCAGTCATATGTCTTAATCAACAATATATTGGATGCATAAAGCATTCACTTCATCAAATAACCACTAGCTTCCTTGGTGTAGTCGGTTATCACGTCGGTCTCATATCTCAGCGAGGTTATGATTGTTCATAAGAACAAGCAATCCGAAGGCCGCCAGTTCGAATCTGGCAGGGAGCATCTCTTTTTGCCGTCTTTTCGAGTACTTACTGTGTATTGAAGTTTTGAATGGTAAAGAAATACTATTTTTTGGGCCTCAAGAGTATCATGGGGATTCCACTTCGTGCTACCATGAGAACCTGCACTCGACCGTATCTTGAGGATGCTCGTTTGAACACGATCGCTAGTAATAACTTCACTCTTCAATGCTTCTTCGCATCTTTTGCCCTCTGCTTCTCAGCAATGAGCCCATCCAATCTCCAAAAAGCCGTGATGCCCTCCACGAAGCTACTTCCGACCCACTTCCACCACGTTACATCAACTGTGCTTAAACCATGCCTATTCAATTTTCTCGCCATGACGAACGCCTCGGTGATATGGATGGCCAGCATGATAGGCAGGACAATCCATCTAACTTGCAGCACGAATCGCGAGAAGGTAGGTAGCATAAACAAAAAGTTGTCGTACAGCAGACTACCCGGCCGGAAGTTGGCTCCTCTCGGCAGCAGAAGGTAGACCAACATACACTGTGTAAAGTTGAACAAGTGGCCCAGCTTGACGTACGGCGGAATGTACTGAGCGACGGTGATATCGCTCCGACCCAGAATCCGAAGCGTGTCCTTGTCCATCTCGACGAGTCTCTCTCTAGCCTCACGCAAAGCCTTCATGGGTGGATCAAAAGCAATGGTGCTTGTCTGACCACCACAGCTGAATTTCATCTGGTTCAGGTCTATGTCTATCATCTGCGCAGAATGGCTCCTCTTGGGGCTAACGGAAGCGTAGGCTTCGACATAGCGGCGAATCTGATGATTCTATCAGTTCACGTCTTGCTGTGTTGTGTGCAATCACGTACAGAATCGTGGTGGTCTGCATTCATGTGCTTGATGATCCGCTGCTTGGCTGCCGCATCTTGTGCCTCTGGTGTAGTCATCGTGCGGGAAAGGCAAGCCTCCGGTATCGAGTCAGATCTAGGGCGGTGTCCGACGTTGTTCTGATCGACTGGAGTGAGGTGAGATGTGGCGTCACGAGTGAATGCAGATGAGGCTGTCCTCGGGCCGACGGAAGAGCACCCCGCGGTCCACGCGTGACATTCGTGAAAACTTGCATCTTAGCCCGATTCAACGCTCGTTAGTCTAACGTTCTGTTCAGCGACATGTAAAAGTCGTAGTGGGAGGCGTGGTAGCATCATGGTGGATCTCACGGTCGTTCACCGATGATTTCGCAAGCTACTCATTAGATACAGCACCAAGTGTAGTGCCACCGGCCTGCTACCGGCCAGCCACCTTGTGGCGGGTATTTGTCACTTCGCACCACGCCTCAGCTTCCAGACTTCACCGACACAGCCCAAAAGAGATGACCTCAAGCGCGTATGCAGGGCAGCACTCAGAACGAGTTCAGCAAGTCTCAGACCCTCGACTGAGTTCACGACTCGGCATGCAAGCCAATGGGAGATGGCGGAGAGGATAGCGCAATGCAGGTGGAAACCCGAACGAAAGTTGGCAGAGGGGTGGAGCGCTTGACACCTTGCACCCCTCCCGATCGATGCTCGCCGGGATGCTGACAAGTTTTAACATGGCTCTCACGCAGGCGTGGTGGGGTAAACATGTCGGTTCCACTCTTGCGTCAGGCTGCATGATGTGGGTGGCTCGTGCAAGCAAGGATGTCAAGGTACCTCTGCAGCTTCCAAACCTGTTCCCGAGCAGCTGGCGATTCCTCTTAACAAATCTGTGCCGTGGACCTGTCTGTGCCATTTCCAGCATTTTGAACTTACTTGCCAACATCTAGCTTTTTGCGCCCAACCCGCACCCGATCCTAATCCACCCAAAGACCAAAGTACCACAACACCATGTCGGACACTGTCGAGGAGAAGAAGCAGTCTGTTGAGGGAGAAGGCCAGGCTGACGCCAATGCCTCTGTTGGAGGATCTGGCAAGGCCGAATCATCGAGTAAGAAAGAAAAGAAGACCCCGAAGAAGCTGGGCGGAAAGAAGCCCCAGCAGGAGCCCACTCCCGAACCCACAGAAGCCGAAGGCGACGCTGAGGGCGAGGGCGACGCCGAAGCCGAAAACGCTGGTGACGCAGAGGCTGAGCAAGAGGACGCAGGCAAAAAACAACAATCCAACGGCGATGCCGACGAATCAGAACCCGAAGCTCAGCCTCAAAAGTCAAAGTCGCAATCGAGGCGTCGCCAGTCCCGAGGCCGTGGACGACGAGGCGGAGATTCCGAGGACACTGATGCACGATCCGATGTCTCCCAGTCTGGAGGTCGCCGCAACCGTCAGCGCCAGAAGAAGGGCGGAAAATCCGGCCCCCTTGACGACATTACCGAGAATGTTCCCGGAGGCGAGCTTGTTGGAGGTGCTGGTGACATGGTCCAGGACACCGCAGGCAAGGCCGTGGGTCAGGTTGGCGACACTGCTGGCAAGGCTCTCGGTGGTCTGACTGGTGGAAAAGGTGGCGAGGAAGAGGGTGGTGATAGCAAGGGTGAGCAGCTGCGTCTGCGATTGGAGCTCAACCTCGACATTGAGATTCAGCTGAAGGCTAAGATTCACGGCGACCTTACCCTCGGTTTGCTGTAAGTATCTATTCTCTGATCTATAGACTTCACGCTGACAGAATCACAGTAACTAGAGCACATCGCAACGACCTCTGCATGAATACTTATTATTGGCTTAACTTAACGACGTTTGGAGCATTGAGTCCGGAAATTCTCCTGGACGGCGTTTGGCTTGGGGAATCTACGTAGTGTAATTCTATGAGAATACAGTTTGAAGCACAAAGCATCACCTGTGCCCTTGTCATTATCTTACATGAGAACTTACACAAAGGGGGCTACAAAAACCCAAGCTCACGTGTAAAACGGGAGTCGCAGCAGCACTCCTCCAATGTCTGGTTTGTGCAACAGTGACACACAACTTCGGCCTTGCCAACTTTTCGCCTACGCGTCGTCAGCTCACAGCGGTGACCCCTGCAGCTGCATGTTATCTCCGCGTTCTGATCAGCTCAAGCGCCGCCGCGTAACGGCGGAAACGGCCACGCCAAAGCTTCATGACGTCAGAAGAACGGTGTCCCTGCTTCGGCTACAGTGACACTACAGTGACAGGGGTGCTGAATTGGGGCGATGCGCAGATGGCACATCCTAGCTCCACCCTGGCATGGTTCAATCTTGATTTCAAGTGACGGCTGGTCTGGTTCCTAGCTTAGTCCAGCCCGCAGCTCCCCTCATTTGTGTATTCAGTCCTCTCCGTTCATCTTACGAAGCAGCGACACCTTTGTAAACATCAAACCCTCGCAATCGCAAGCATAGGTGCCTCAGGAGCACCTAGGGTATTACCTACCGTCCCAGAGCCAAAAGAACAGACATCAAACACAACCGCAACCATGGCAGACCAGAATAAGCAGCAAGGAAAGAAGGATGATGACTACGAGTCGAAACCACACGAGCGCTCGACCATGGCGCAGGAAAAAGCCATCAACAAGATGAAGCAAGACAAGCGCGAACAAGGTCTACAAAGTGCACGCTCAAGATCGTCGTCCCGCCGCGCCCGCCGCCAGCGTCTGGAGAAAGATCAGAGGGATGGAAAGTACATGCACACTGTTTCCCTTGAAGTCCTGGAAGAGGCCGATGCAAATGGTGACCTGCAGAAGATGGGCATGTTCGAGCGCATTGGCCCAGACAGCACATCCATGGACGGTCCCGTGACACACGCTCGTGCAATGCGTGGCGAGATCCCGATGCGCGGCACCAACCCCAACGAGCCCAAATGGATGACCCCAGAGAAGCAACAGAGTTCGCTGCAAGATGATGATGGTTTGAAGCTCACGTTGGAGGCGAACCTGGAGATTGAGATTGAGCTCAAGGCCTCGATCCGTGGTGATTTGACGCTTTCGTTATAGTAAGTTTTCTGTTTTGTATCCCCTTCGATGTTCGCCTTTGATCTATTATTTACTTCTTACCTGTACGCAGCGGTGACATGCTGCCTGAATTGTCGATTCCTTCGTTACCCAAGCTGCCCAAACTGCCCAAACTCCCTAATGTTGGCAACGTCACGAACGTTGTCCCCAAACCCAAGCTCTCCAGCGTCACGCAAAATCTCTCAAAGATGGTCTAGCCGTTTCCTAATTCGGTCCTTAACAGTGAATAATAGTGCATGAATGGACTTACCAATGTTGGCAATACCGGACCAGTACCACGAAACCTCATGACCCCTTCCCTCGGTACCGAAATCCGAGCAACAAACCCGGAACCCCCATTTTACCGTCCGCTACGGATTGATGCACTGTTCTGAGCGTTTGGAGTTTTGCGTCTTTTCGGCACGTGGGATTTTGTTGTTTAGTTAAGAGAAGAAATGATAATGTTATACGACACCACTTCGCGCACCTCACCCTCCATGGCAGGCTAAACCGCTTTATCCTGTCGTGACCTAAAAATCTATGTTTTCATTGCATTAAGAAATGTGGCCGTTCCGGATGTTTTATGGGGCCTTCGTTCGAACAAGGCTCGTTTATCTCGCACGAGAAAGCTGACAATAACGCAGAATCTGATCGCACGGCACCGTCAAAAACGTACGCATATGAACTCGGCATCATCAAATTTGTTTCCATGGTCGAGTACCTACAAAGGAGCTCTTCTATACACAGAAGGGAGACCTTATGGTCTAAGCTATGCTTATGACTCGTCCGAATACCTCAAGGGTCAACTGCAATCAACGGATCTCGCTGCCTGAACCTGACCTTGAGAAGCCTCGCTACCGCTTCATACTCTTGCTGGAAAGTCCACCTCACACAAATCATTTCGTATCTTTGCGTTTCTCATACTTTACACGTTGCTCCTGCGCCTACACAAATAACTATCCGGTCCACTCTGGGTCTCTCCGTTCTCAAATAAGCGAAAGGACATCGGCACCTGTCTCCGCTTCATAAAACACACAATGGAGTCTGGACCATATTCACTTCCAACTCACCCTCCTATTATCTGCCCCGTACCACGAGCGGTAAGGCCAGATGCATGCCCGACATTCA